CATGTTATGGTAATAAGGCCTAAGTTTCTCCCGGGGCAGAGATCTTAACATTAACATGAAGCAAAGGTCATCTCTTGGGCACTTTGCTGCCAGTCTGCACAGATGTTGCTCTTGTGGTGGCGTTTGGACCCGTTCAGGGTGGTTGGTAATTGCATCTCTTAACATAATTAAACAAGAATTTGGAAAAAAAAAAAACCTTCTGAAACCTCCTTTGAGTTCCTTGGGGCAATTGATTGGTGATGATTTGTCCTTTTATGGAGCATGTATATATATATGTATTTTTTTTTAATTGGCCCTGAGCGAACATCTGTTGCCAATCTTTTTTTTCCTTCTTCTTCTCCCCAAAGCCCCCCAGCACATAGTTGTATATTCTAGTTGTGGGCCCTTCTAGTTCTGCCATATAGGATGGCACCTCAGCATGGCCTGATGAGTGGTGCTAGGTCTGCACCCAGGATCCCAACCAACAAAACCCTGGGCCACCAAAGCAGAGCGTGAGAACGTAACAACTCCGCTGCGGGGCCGCTTCCAATGGAGCATATATTAATTTTATGTTATCCATTTAATCGACCCCAACTCTGCTGATAGGCATTATCTTCATTTTATAAATTAAGAAACTGGGCTTCAGCGAGGTTAAGTAATTGGTGTAAAGTCACCGTCTGGTTGAGAGCCAGGACTCATGCTCATGAGTGGTACACAGGCTTTGGAAAGTGAAAGCTACAAAAAATAAATTTAAAGGGTGAAAGGACCCAACACAACACGTACTCAAGGTAGACACTCAGTTTTGTCTTTGTTTGTTTTTCCTTCTGCCAAGCACTTGTAAGACCACGTGGCCAAAGCTGGGACGGGCTGGCCTGGTGGCGTAGCAGTTAAGTTCGCACGTTCCTGTTCTCGGCGGCCTGGGGTTCGCCGGTTTGGATCCCGGGTGGGGACATGGCACTGCTTGGCACCCCATGCTGTGGTAGGTGTCCCACATATAAAGTAGAGGAGGATGAGTATGGATGTTAGCTCAGGGCCAGGCTTCCTCAGCAAAAAGAGGAGGACTGGCAGTAGTTAGCTCAGGGATAATCTTCCTCAAAAAAAAAAAAAAAAAGCTGGGACAATTTGAGCAACAAAATAAAGTAGTATTGGATTATAACCCAAAGTATAAAACAAATATCAAGGAGCTCATATTGATATCAATAAATATTGAATAGGTGACTATATGGGGAGAAGAAGCCAGTCTCCTAAACAGAAGAATTCCAAATAATTTACGTAGATACTCTATCCTCAAAGAGGTGAAGTGTCACTCCACAAACCATTAGTAAAATCAATAGTTATGCATGTTTTGGTTGAAAAATAAATTCATTGGTGACACAGAATAAAGGTATTGTTTTTAAAGTTCTTCTTTCTGTGGTAGATGAATTAGAAAACAGTAAAAGGAATAAACTGCTACTGAGATAGTTGGAAATTCAAAGGACTTCTGTGTTACCAAGTGTAATTACTTCTTAAACTTTTTTGGGTCCAAGGAAGACTTTTACGACAGAGGAAGTAATTTGACTAAGGATATAGAAATCTTAAGAAACTTAATTAGGCCTGTGGTTTATAAACTGGGAAAAATTGCATAACTTCAAGTGCGTGAATTCCTGCCTGGGAGGTGATGAGGGAGATAGATAAAACTGTGATGTTATTCCTTACTCTGTTCTCTTTAATTAAAAATTCTTTTTCAAAAGCTGATTTTCTGTCATTGCTTAGAAACAAAGAGTGAAGATGATAACCTCAGGGTTTCCGGCTTGCCTGGGAGGAGAATACCAAAAGTCAAAACATCTTAGAAGGCAGAATATTTTTACGTAAACAGTGCTGAAGACAAGCAGGAAAATGACCGTTTCCTTTCCTTCTGTTGGGCAGACCCCGTTTCCTGTGATCCGTGCCACAAAGTGCTCTGCACCTTTGAAAGCTGGTTCAGAAGCTACCGAGAGGTTATTGCCGTTGATGTGGTTATTTTCTGAAAGATTTTTTGGAGACAAAAAAAAATTAGTGTATTTGTTCCATGGGATTAAGAGAGATTTGTTTTGGGGTTTTAAAAAACTAATTAATTATATTTTTAAAAATTATGGTAAGATAAAAATACTATAAAATTTATCATTTTAACCATTTTTAAGTATATGATTGAGTGGCATTAAGTACATTCACATTGTTGTGCAGCCATCACCACCATCCATCTCCAGAATAGTTTCATCATCCCAGTTGAAGCTCTGTATCCATTAAATCATAACTCCCATTTCCCCCTCCCTCTGACCCTGGTGACCTCTATTCAACTTTCTGTCCCATGAGTTCGATTATTCTAGGTACACTGTATAAGTGGAATCATGCAGTATTTATCCTTTTTTTTTTTTTTTTTGATGAGGAAGATTGGCCCTGAGCTAACATCTGTGCTAATCTTCCTCTGTTTTTGTATGTGGGATGCCACCACAGCATGGTTGACAAACAGTGTGGTCTGTGCCTGGAATGTGAACCCATGAACCCAGGCCACAAAAGCGGAGTGTGCCAAACTTAACCACTATACCACCAGGCCAGTCCCTGTCCTTTTGTTGACCAGCTTATTTCACTCAGCATAATGTCCTCAAGCTTCATCCATGTTGTATCAGGTGCCAGAATTTCCTTCCTTTTTAAGGCTGAATAATATTCCGTTGTACGGACAGACCACTTTTGTTTATCCAGTCATGAATCTGGTGGATGGACACTTGAGTTGCTCCCTCCTTTGGGCTGCTGTGAATAATACTGCTATGAAAAGCATTCATATGAGTCCTGCTTTCAGTTCTTTTGGGTATGTACTCAGAAATGAAATTACTAGATTAAATGTATTTGGTTTTGAAAAGTTACTTTAAAGCTTGAGTTTGCTTTTGAAAAAAAATTTGTTTTAACATGAAGGTTGTATTTAAGGTGTGAAAGAGGGGGAAATTGGATATGGTTCATAACCAAGCTTCTCTCTGTGACTGCGGACATCCTTAGCTTAACCACGTGATGACTGACATCTGGACGCTGGAACCATCTCATCTACAGACACTCCCTGCTTTAAAGCCAGGACCAAGGCAATGAGCCCCCTGATCTCCTTCCCACTCCCTTTGCCTCTGGATCTCATCTACTGCTCTCCCCTCCACCCCTCCCTCTGGAGCCCCAGGCTTCTGGACCGTTTGTGGACCAGGAACATCGCAGGCACAATCGTTTCTCTCGGAGCCTCTGCCTGAAACACTGTCCTTCCAGATATCCTCACAGCTTGTCCCCTCACCTTCTTCAGGTCTTTAGTCAAGTGTCTCCTGAAGATGATGACTTCCTTGATGATGATGATACCGGTTTAAAGTGTCTATTACATTTAACATACTATAGATAAAGATTTTTTGTTTTGTTTTGCTTTTAAAGATTGGCCCTGAGCTAACATCCTCTTTTTTTTCTTTCTCCCCAAAGCCCCCAGTACATAGTTCTATATTCTAGTTGTAGGTCCTTCTGGTTGTGCTGTGTGAGATGCCACCTCAGCATGGCCTGATGAGCGGTGCCATGTCTGCACCCGGGATCTGAACTGGTGAAACCCTGGGCCGCTGAAGCAGAGCATGTGAACTTCACCACTTGGCCACCGGGCCGGCCCCAACATGCTATATTTTTGTCCGTATGTTTTATTTATTGTCTGCCTCTCCCATTAGGACATCAGCTGCATGGGGGCAGGGCTTTTGTTCTCTGCTGTATCCTGGCACCTAGAACAGCATCTACACATGGCAGGCGCCCAGCAGGTGTTGGAGAGTGTGTAGCTGTGATCGCGGTTACCTTCAGAAGAAAATGAAAAAAAAAAAAAATGGGGCTGGCCCCATGTCTGAGCGGTTAAGTTCGCGCGCTCCACTGCAGGCGGCCCAGTGTTTCGTTGGTTCGAATCCTGGGCGCCGACATGCCACTGCTCATCAAAGCACGCTGAGGCAGCGTCCCACATGCCACAACTAGAAGGACCCACAACGAAGAATATACAACTATGTACTGGGGGGCTTTGGGGAGAAAAAGGAAAAAAATAAAATCTTTAAAAAAAAAAAAGAAAATGAAGTACTTTGCAGTTGTTCAACTTAATTACGTACTTTGATTTAACCCCAAAAATGAGAGAATATAGAAAGCAGAGAGTTTTATTCACATATGGCACACGGTAAGTAGCAGTTTCTTGCTTCAGGCTGTCCCCAAAGTCAGCAGGATGGTACTCCATTGGTAGAATAGGGGGTTGAATAGTGTCCCCTAAAAGGACATGTCCAGGTCCTAACCCCCGGAACCTGTGAATGTGACCTTACTTAGGAAAAAGAGTCTTTGCAGATGTTTTTAAGTTAAGGATCTCCTTAAATCCAGAGGCGATCATTCTGGATTTAGAGTGAGCTCTAAATCCAATGACACATATCCTTATAAGAGAAATTATAAGAGAAAGGCAGAGGGAGATTTGAAACAGAGACACACGGAGAAGAAGGAGATGTGAAGACAGAGGCAGAGATTGGTACATCCCTGGTAAATGACTTGGCTCCTTTCTAGCCCATGGCATTGTTTACCCTTGGCTGGATGCTCCTAAATCAGGTGGCTGGTACATAAGCAACACTCAATAAATGCCTTTTATTTTTAAAAAATTTTTCCTACTTCTCCCTAAAGCCCCCTAGTACATAGTATATATTTTTAGTTGTGGGTCCTTCTAGTTCTTCTATGTGGGATGCCACCTCAGCATGGCTTGATGAGCAGCGCTAGGTCTGCGCCCAGGATCTGAACTGGCGAAACCCTGAGCAGCCAAAGCGGAGCAGAAGAAGCCAATTAGTCAGCCATGCGGCTGGCCCCAATGACACATAAGAAATGCCATTTATACAACCAAATTCTATTACGTTTCAAAGCATTTATCTTCCCAAGTAGAATAGAACTGTATTATTCACTTGCATTATAGAATCCAGAACAGTCTCTGTGTATTAGTGCAGACAGAAGTTTAGCTGCACTTCTGAGACCCCGAGAGCAGTGACTTACACAAGACAGAAGTTTATTTCTCACGTAACAGTCTAGAGGGAGGTGGCTGGGAGCGGGTAGGTGGTCCAGCTCAGTGAGGTTGTGTCGGCTCCCTCCACCCTCCTCAGGTGCTGCCATCATCTTCATGATCCACGGTGGCTTGTCACTATGTCCAAGTTCCAAGTCGCAAGGTGGAGACAAGGAGGGGACAGGCATGCCCTCACCTTTCAGGATAAGACCCAAATGTTGCACACAGCACTTTTGCTCAAATCCCATGATGAACTTGGTCACGTAGCCACACAAGTGCACGGGAGGCTGGGAAGTCCATTACAGTGGTTATTCTGGACTACCGTGCATCCAGCTGAAAATTCTGCTATTATGGAGGAAAAAGAGAGTGGATACTAAGAGACAACTAGAAATCTTTGCCACCCCATGTCTCCTAATAGATGCTGAATAAATACTTGCTGAATTAATTAAATATCAATTAATAATATATGGATGTAATAATAATAATGTTCCCGGGCATGATGAAGATCTTTATTTTAAAAATACACCTAAAACATGTAACTTTTTATTAACGTAAGTTGGAATATTTACCATATATAAAGCTAAAGATTTTCAGTGAACACAACAGAAAATATTGCTAGATTTTGTAACCTGAGGAAACAACTCAAAAAAGATGTCCCTAAACACGGGGACGTAGAGAAAAAACCCTCAAAATAGCTAACATATAGGTTAGGAAGCTGAAATATACATTATGGTATCAATGTAAATTTCAAATCTAGACCAAAATAAAGGTCTAAAACGTAAGCAACCTTAAGCAGTATTTTACATGCCAAAAACAATTAGAGTAAATACACTCATATGGTGAACATAACTTCTATGACTAGGATCCATTTATTTCAAGCAGCATTTGATATATAAGAAGTTCAATTTTTTTCTTTGCTGAGGAAGATTGTCCCTGAGCTAACATCTGTGCCAATCCTCCTCCAATTTGTATGTGGGATGCCACCACAGCATGGCTTGATGAGCCGTGTGTAAGTCTGTGCCTGGGATCTGAACCTGGGAACCCCAGGCTGCCGAAGTGGAGTGCACAAACTTAACCGCTATGCCACCAGACTGGCCCCTGGAATTTTTCTTTTTAGATCTTCCTGAAACCCTCTATGTCCAGTCCCAGCTCTCATTTCACTCCTGGATCATGCCACGCCTTCTCCATGTGGGTCTCTCCTCCCTCTCATCTGGACCATGCACTGCCTTGAGATGATTTTTCCTGATTCTATGTCCTGGTTCAAAACATCTGATGATTCTCTGATCGGTTCCTATCCTCTTAGCTGAGCATGTGGGATTTCCATAGTCACTTGCTATTCAGTATATCCAATCTACCCCTCACTCTAGAAAACCTGCTGTCTGGATGTTCTTCTTATTCATTTGATGAGTAGATCATGTGTTCACAGCGTTCAGAAATAACAGCATAAAAAGCGACAGAGGGAAAAGTCTTCTTCCCACGCTGGCTCCCATCCACGTCATTCCCCTGTCCCCACTCTTCAAAGCTTCTTGTGCATGCTTCAGTGTTCTTTATGAAAATATAAGCAAAACAGTTCTATTTTCTTATCAGCTGCCCTGCCTTTTATTCAAAAGGCAGATTACTATATTCCGATATTCCTATTTCTATATCAATACACAAGGAGCTTCCTTGTCCTTTTTTTCTCACTTCCTTTTTTTTTTTAAAAAAAGAGCTGTGCAGCGTTGCAGTGCTTGAAGCACCAACCTTTATGTAACTGTCCCTACCTGATGGACACTTAGGTGGTTTCCAACCTTCTGTTATTACAAACAATGCCTCAATGAATAACCTTATAAGCACATACACCATTTTGCTCATACCTGACTCTATCTGCGGCGGAAGCTCCTAGAAGGGTGCCTGGGTTTTTCACCACAATGCTGGGTCTCCTATCTTTGGTACCACCTAAGGGCATAGGCCTCTGTGCCAGGGGCCTGTCCCATTGCTTTGGTTCCTTGGAGAGATTTACTCCACAGGACAGTCGGAGTAACTGTTGTATTGTACGCATGACTCATGAGACATAATGAACACAACTTTATCTCCTGCCATCTCCTTTTTTTTTTTATTTTTTGAGGAAGATTAGCCCTGAGCTAACTGCTCTCAAGCCTCCTCCGTTTGCTGAGGAAGACTGGCCCTGAGCTAACATCTGTGCCCATCTTCCTCTACTTTATATGTGGGACGCCTATCACAGCATGGCTTTTGCCAAGTGGTGCCATGTCCACACCCGGGATCCAAACCAGCGAACCCCAGGCTGCCGAAGCAGAATGTGCGCACTTAATGCTGAGCCACCGGGCCGGCCCCTCCTGCCATCTCTTTAAAATACATCCAGTGGAAGTTATCTTCACCTGCCCCAGATGAAAACTCTAATAGGCTGTATCAATTTCCCAGGACTTCTGTAACAAAGTACCACAGACTGGATGGCTTAAAAGAGAATTTTATTATCTCACAGTTCTGGAGGTTCGAAATTCAAATTCCAGGTCTTGGCAGGGATGTGCTTCCTCTGAAACCTGTAGAGGAATGGTTGTCTGCCTCTTCCCAGCTTTGGTGGTACGCCGCATCACTGCAATCTCTGCCTTCGTCCTCGCATGGCGTTCTCCCTGTGTGTCTCTGTCTTCACACAGCCTCCTAATAAAGACGTCAGTCATATCAGGTTAGGATCCGCTCTACTCCAGTATGACTTCATCCTAACTCATTACATCTGCAAAGACCCCATTTCCAAATAAGGTCACATTCTGAGATACTGGTGGTGAGGACTTCGAAATATTTTTTTTGGCTGGACACAATTCAACCCATAACATAGGTCCAAAACTTCTCTGCTCACTTTAGGTAGGAGACAAAGTTAGGGTCACTTTAATTCACAAGCTCATTCTCAATTCAGAAACTAGTATGTCCAGTCCTTTGAGCTCCATTCTAAGGCCAACTCCGGTCAGGGTTTGGCAGCTGCCTGCCTGCAGGAAGCGGGTGTGGTTGGAGGTTACCGCTCTCTGCTGACCTCCCTGGTGCCCTGCCCATTCGCCTCCATCCCCGCCACGGTTCCGTCTCCTTCCAGAGTGGGAGAGGTAGGAGGATGGCTGGGACAGGTCTGACCTGCTGGCAGGCTCTGTGCCTGAGGGCCTGCTGTTGCTGTCCTTTTCTTCTCATGAGTTTTCTGGGCATTTCTTGGGAGATTTCCACCTTGGAGACTTCTTGGCTGCAGATCTCCAGGTTCTGGCAAATGCGACTTGGTTTTGGGAATTAACTTGCAACTTCTTCTTCAGCCCTGGAAATCCAGGTTTCCTCCCTCTGCCCCAGGCATCCCTTTTGGACAAGACTCTCAATGATCCAATGCCAGCCTCCCCTTTCCTCCCCATGGCCCACATCTGATTCAAGGAGTACAGGCAGCAGCATGCTCCTAGCCTTGCCACCAAAGCAGTTGGTCAGCCCACTCTTCTCTGGATTTTCCAGGTGATGTCAGACTTGTGTCTGGCAGGGAGGGGTCCCCCAACTGTGGGACACAGGCTAACAAGCACTCTGGGTTTCTGCCGGGGGATGGGGGAGTCAGGAGATGAAATCACAGCAAGACCAGGGCTGTCCCCAAAGAAATCTCACCCCAACCCTTCTCTCCTCACTCTGACCTCTTGTATGTTCTCATTCTGATTGAGATGCTGAGGGCCCAGGTCAGCATCACTTCGTGTGCACACTCCCTTTGTATCTGATACATATCCATCATTACAGAACCTCAAGATTCCCCTTCTAGTAATCTCTTCCCACCTGTCAGCACACTGACCATAAACATAGCAAGGCAGTGGTCATTTACAAATTCTCTCTCTCTGCCTTTTTCAGGGGAAGATTCTCCTTAAGCTAACATCCACTACCAATCTTCTTCTCTTTTTTTCTTCTTTTTCACCCTAAAAGCCCCAGTACAAAGTTGTGTATAGTTGTAAGTTCTTCTGGTTCTTCGATGTGAGCCACTGCCACAGCACAGCTGCTGACACATCAGTGGTTGGTTCCGCACCCAGGAACGGAACCCAGGCAGCTGAAGTGGAGCATAAGGATCTTTATGCTAGGCTGGCAGGCTGGCTCGCTCAGTCTTTGAAAGAAGGTGGGACCTGAATTGAAGGACCTTTTCTTTTAGTTTTTGTAAAAATAAATTTTATTTTTAGAATAGTTTTAGATTTACAGAAAATTTGCTAGGTAGTATAGAGTTCCCATAAACCAGTTTCCTGTCATTAATATCTTACATCAGTATGGTATATTCGTTACAATTAATAAACCCATATTGGTACAATATCACTAACTATAGTTCATACTTTATTCAGATTTCCTCTAGTGTCCTTTTTTCTCCTATCGTCCTTTTTCTGTTCCAGGATCCCATCCGCAAACCACATGACATTTAGCCAACAGCTTAGGCTCCTCTTGGCTGTGACAGTTTCTCAGATTCTGCTTGTTTTGGATGATCACAGTTTTGAGGTCGATCCAGGTATTTCATAGAACGTTCCTCTATTGGAATTTGTCTGATATTTTTCTCCGATTAGGTGGGGTTACGGGTTTGCAGGAGTGTGGTATTATAAAAAATACATTTGGTCTTTGTCCCCTGTTCCTGGCTCAAAGCTCCTAAGACCCTTGGAATTTCCTGAGTAAGAGCTCTTTGTCGTTTATAATGAGCCTCTTTCAATTATATCTGAGTTTATGCTAATGAGGTGATAATTGGTGTTCTCCTGGATGGGGGCTGGTAGCCAGAGGAATCAACCAAGTGATTAGAGGGGTGGAAATTTCCGCCCCCTCTCCCTCCACTTACGGAAATGAAACCTCCATAAAAACCGTAAACAAAGGGGTTTAGAGGGAGGTGCAGTCTGGTGGGAACGCGAAGAGGGCGTGGAAGCTCTGCGCGGCCCCTTCTCTGCAGCTCTTCCATTCGGCCGTTCCTGTGTTGTACCCTTTATGGGAAAGCAGTAATAGTAAGTAAAGCGCTTTCCTGAGTTGTTTTCTTTGAGTTGTTCTAGGGAATTATCAAAGCTGAGTGGTGAGGGGGCCAGCCAGGTAGTGGAGCAGTTAAGTTCCTGCACCTGCTTCTGTGGCCCGGTTTCCCCAGTTCGGATCCCAGGCGCGGACTAACGTTCGCACCACTTATCAAAGCCATGCTGTGGCAGGTGTCCCACATATAAAACAGAGGACTAACTTTCCTCAGAAAAGAAAAAAACCACTCAACTGAGTGGGGGGGCGTGGGAACCCATGAATAGGTAGGCAGCTGGGCAGAAATGTGGGTTGCCTGGGCACCTCACCAGCGGCTGGCGTGTAAAGTGGGGGCAGAGACTTGGAGAATTGGTTGTCGGGCTTGGAAAACACACCATGTGCTTCCTATCAGGGGGATGAAACCTCTCTGGGAGGCAGACCAGAGAGGGAAAGGGAGGGCCCCCATTTTTGCTGCACATCTTGAGACATGGATCTGTAAGGCTGGAGTAAGGGCCTGAGAGCCTGAAGGAGGGTAAAGACAAGACAAGGGCTACAGGGGCAACGTGGAGGAGAGAAGAGAAACACCGAAGGGCTCTCTGTCTCCCCTAAGGCTGTGGTCCAGCGTCTGATGCTGGAGGACCTCCAGGAAGCCCTCCCCCGGCCCCAGCCCAACCTGCAGAGGCCGGACCGGCCGCCAGGGGGCGCAGCGAGGCGGGGACACGGAGGTGGAGCCGCCTGGCCTCGCCTCCACAGTAGGTCCGGCCGCCGCGGAGCAGGGCGGGAGTCCAGGTCGGGGTCGGGGTCGGGGTCGGGGTCGGGGTCGGGGTCGGGGTTGGCGGGGACGGGCCGCGTCGTCGGTCAAGGCTGCGGGGTTGCAGCGGAGAAGGCCGGGGGACCCGCTGTAGCCGGTGAGAAGGGGGCGGGGTTTCCGGAAGATCCGCGAATGGGATTTCAGGGACCGGACAGCGCCACCGCCCTCGCGCTCCTCCCCGCTGGGCCCCCACCGCAGGATCGGGCCCGCTTGCTAGTGCGCACGCGCAGCCCGCGGCCGGCTGAGCAGCTGGGTTCCAGCGCCCCGCCCGCCGCCGCCCGCTTGCTGGCACTGTCCCCGACTCCGGTATCCCAGTTGCCAGTGTCCGGGGCAAAGAGCAGGACCCGCCTCCCACGGCCAGAAAGCACGGGTGAATTCTTCTATAATCTGGGTGTGGGCAAGGGCTTTCCAATAAGCCAAAGTCCAGATGCAAGAAGAAAAATAAAGATTGCTACGTTTGTCAACATTGAAAAACAAAAACCGTATAGCCAAACGCACAAACAAAAGCCTACCGTACATAAAGTAAAAGACTGGCAACGTATATTACAGATAAAGGGTTAATATTCCAAATATATAAATAAGTTCTAAAACCAAACACGAAAAATCCAATTGAAGAAAAGGCAAAAGACATGAATGGGCAATATGCAAAAAGTGGTATAAAGCTGGCCCTTAAACAAGTGAAAAGATGTTCATTTCCTCTCATAATAAGAGAAATGCACATTACTCTGAGATACCACTGGTAACCTATAAAGTTTGCAAAAAGTCAAAAGCAAAAGCCTGTGGGGAAGCAGGCACTCTGATACATTGCTGGTGGGAATGCAAGATGGTATAATCCTATCATAAAAGGAGATTTGGCAATATCTAATGAAACTTAGTATGCCTTTACCCTTTGACCCAGCAGTTTCACAGCTAGGGACTAACCCTTAAGAAACACCTACACCAATATAAAAAAATATGTATGTTCAAGGTTACTTATTGCAGCATTGTTTGCAACGACAAAATTTTGGAAACAATCTCAGTCCAATACATTGGCAATTGCGTGAATGAGCTCTGGCACATCCACACAATGAAGTACTATGCGGTTGTTAAAAAGAGTGAGGGGGGCCGCCTGGTGGCACAGTGGTTAAGTTCACACATTCTGCTTCCACGACCCAGGGTGCGCGGCCCAATCCCGGTTGCGGACCTAGCACCGCTTGGCAAGCCATGCTGTGGCAGGCGTCTTCACATATAAAGTAGAGGAGGATGGGCATAGATGTTAGTCAGGGCCAGTCTTCCTCAGAAAAAAAGAGGAAGATTGGCGGCAGATGTTAGCTCAGGGCTAATCTTCCTCAAAAAAAAAAAAAAAAAAGAGGAAGATCTCTATGAACTGATATGGAGTGATTTCTAGTATATATTGATAAGTGAAGAAAGCTAACTACAAAAGAGTACACATGTTATGCTACTTTGTGTAAAAAAAGGGGAAATAGTAAAATATTCAAGTATCTGTTTACTTCTACACAAAAAACTCAGGAAGAATAAACTAAAAACTAATACGTTGGTTACTTACAGTGGGTGGGTGGGAATGGTGTGAAAGGCGAGGAGGAAACCACACTTATTCAAGCATAACTTTTTTTGGTAGTCTCAACTTTTGGAAATGTGAGTGTTTTAATATTCAAAAAAATAAAATTAAGTCAACAAAGATGGGGGGAAAAGAAACCTAAAATTGAATCCAAACAGAAGTAAACAAATGAACTAAATTGTATAGTAAATTAACCACAGGAAATAAAAGTAAACACAAGTTACTTTTTTTTAAGGAAGATTAGCCCTGAGCTAACATCTGCTGCCAATTCTCCTCTTTTGCTGAGGAAGACTGGCCCTGAGCTAACATCCATGCCCTGTCTTCCTCTACTTTATATGTGGGACGCCTGCCACAGCATGGCTTGCCAAGTGGTGCCATGTCCGCACCCGGGATCTGAACCGGTGAACCCCGGGCCACCAAAGTGGAACTGCGAACTTAACCCCTGTGCCACTGGGCCAGCCCCTAAGTTACTTCTGAACACAGCTCTTTGACTATACACCTTCTGTATGTAAATAAGCAAACAAAACTACAAAGACATTTTGAACTTCACTTGGTAGTGATCTGATATAGCAATTCTGAAAATATTTTCTGGGTACTGAGGGATTAAGCAAATTAGTAAATAGAACGATATTACTAGGAGGCAGGGTTCTCACTGCTCGAGAAGGGTGATACAAAATGGGGAAAGGGAGGCGAGGAAGAGCTCTGTGGATTGGAATCTATTTCCTAGATCTGTCTGCTGAAGGAGCTTCGGGAGCAGGGCACCCCAACACCGATGAGCATTCCATGTGTCCATATCTTGGTTTCTAAATACCTTTCTCCATTAAAAGAAGTCAGAGCTCCTTTGAGAAATGGCTTGTCTGGGGAGGGGCAGGGAAAGTGAAAGATGGGCCAGGAACACCCTGTGCCAGCTGCGAGCGGGTGGTGCTCAAAGAATGATGGAGATGGTTAGGAGGACACAGGGGCCAGCCTGACAGGGCTTCTAGTTGCCAAACTGGGAGCAATTTGAGCATCAAAATGAGTAAGGACAGTAAAGAATTCTCACATTGAAAAAAAAGTATCCATGGGGCTGGCCCCGTGGCCGAGTGGTTAAGTTCACGCGCTCTGCTGCAGGCGGCCCAGTGTTTTGTTGGTTCGAATCCTGGGCGCGGACATGGCACTGCTCATCAAGCCACGCTGAGGCGGCGTCCCACATGCCACAACTAGAAGGACCCACAATGAAGAATATACAACTATATACTGGGGGGCTTTGGGGAGAAAAAGGAAAAAAATAAAATCTTTAAAAAAAAAGAAAAAAAAGTATCCATGAGTCCAGAGTGATACTAAAAAGCAAATAAACGTACAAATAAATAGAGGTAAAAAGGACAGCTCTTCTTTACAGCAGAACACCAACTAATAAACGCTGATTGAACAATAGAGTTAGAAAAGTTGCCACATTGCAACTATTATAGCAATAACTGATTCAGGCAGGAAACATTCATGGATGCAAAAACTGCTGCGTGGAAGCCTGTTGGGGAATAAGATATTCCACAGTCTCAAAGTCTCACTCCACAGATTATTAATTACGAAAATGAAAAAGGAAGTGGAAAAATCCGGTGGGTGCCACCTCAACCACGCGGTCAAAGTCAGCATCGCTAATAATGGTCGAACTGACGTCAGGTGCCAAAAATGCATAACCTGAACTGAATTCTAGGAAACATCAGACGAACTCAACTTGAGCGACTAGCTAAAAAATCATGGGTCTGACTATTAAAACATATCCAGCTCACCAAAGACAAGACTCAGGAACCGTTCCAGGTTAAAAGCAGATAAACAGACATGACAATTACATGAAATGTGTGACTCTGAATTAGGAAAAATGATCTTGCTATAGAGGATGCTATTGGGACAATTGGCCAAATGTGAATACGGACTGAATAGTAGATAATACTATTGGATCAGTGTTAAATTTTCTGAATTTGATCACTGCAATGTGGTTACGCAAGAGAACATTCTCGTTCTTAGGAAAGATACCGTGAAGTACTTGGGGTGAGGAGTCATGAATTCTGCAGCTTAATCTCAAACGGTTCAGGAAAGAAGAAAACGCCTCTGTTATACTTTGTACTACTGAGTGGCTATAACACAACTTTCGTAAATATGCTCCCTGTTGAACGTTTAAAATTTTCAATTTAAAAAAATCACTCTTACAATGTTGCTATTAACATCTTTACAAATCTGATTTCTTTCTTCTTTGGTTACCATTTTCAGGATAAATGCCTAGGATTATGAATACCAAATCAAAGAGTGTAAATGTTTTTATAGCCTTTAAGAAGAGAGTAGTAATTCAAGATGCCAAGAGTGGCTGATTTAAATAGAAGGTTGTATGTAACATGGGAGGTGAGAGCATAGAGCCACAAATAGCAGGAGATTCTGAAAGCAGCTGCTCCCGCTATTGTGCAAAGGACTCTCTCGTGTTATGGGAGAACTCTAAGCTGACAGCAGACTTTTTAGGTTAGTAACACCCCTGCCACTGTCCTAGGACCCAGGGGTCTAATCCAAGCCACCAGGGCCTAAATTTAGTCGTTGAACAATAAGAGATTTGTAATTAGCTGGCTTGTTGCCTCTAGAGGATTCTGACAAAGAACCACAAGGTGTTTTGTGTTCGAGAACCTTGTAATTCTCCAAGGCAGTTGTGAAAAGCAGTATAAACCTAAAATTGAAAAGAAGAAGTGTTCAGCCTAAAAGATTTTTTTTTTTTTAGGAAGATTAGCCCTGAGCTAACATCCGTGGCCAATCCTCCTCTTTTTGCTGGGGAAGACTGGCCCTGAGCTAACATCCATGCCCATCTTCCTTTACTCTATATGTGGGACGCCTCCCATAGCATGGCTTGCTAAGCGTTGCCATGTCGGCACCCAGGATCTGAACCGGTGAACCCCCGGGCCGCCGAAGTAGAACGTGCGAACCTAACTGCTGCGCCATCGGGTCGGCCCCTGGCCTAAAAGATATTGAGTTGGAAACAAATAAAAACCACTGGTAATGGGAGTATAAATTGGTCTAACTACTTTGGAAAACAGTTTAGCATTATCTTTTAACACTGGACGTTAGCTCAACCAGTAATTCCTCTTCTTGGTCCAAACCCAGAGAAACCCTTGCCCACGGGCCCCGGAGACAAGTGAGGGGCTGTTCAGAGCAGCACTGTTTGCCAGAGCAAACAAACTGGAAATAACTCATGTCCAGCAGAACAATGGCTAAACAAATGATGGTTTAGACATACCATTGAACCTTATACAGCAGTGGAAACGAATAAAGTGCAGCTATGCCCAACTGTATATGTGTGAATCTTAGAAACACTAAGTGGAAAAGATGCAAGGCTAAGAAGTCTACTTAATGAATAACATTATTTTTATAAAGTTATAAAACAAAACAGGGTACTTTGTAGGGATAACATTCATTTGTATTTAAG